TTTCTCTTTCTATCTCGTCTACTCTCGACTAATAGTAGTTGTGAACACGTGACCAAAACTGTTGGTTAGATAAAGAGATCCGGGTCCGAACAGCTATCTCCATCTGACCGGTCGAGAACAAAGGCGTGCTCGTTCCAGTATGGTATATATTTCAATGCAAGCAATACAAGACAGCGTCGAGTTGTCATGAATCATAAAGGTTCTAGATGGTTATGTATATCTCATTTTTCGATCCTAGTGAAATTAACTCGAACTTGAATTATCGTAAACACCCGCTATGTTAGCAATATAGGAGTATTATATTGCTGCGTTCCGTAAAGCACATATGCACGCATGTATCTATAATATACCTAACGTATACTATAGATACATGCACGCATATGCGCTTTATGGAACGCAGCCTATATATGGAACTAATGCAGCCAGTTCAGCTATAAAGAACAGATCTCTTCTCTCTATAGATCTTGAGTAGAAACATAGGGCGGTATTCATAGTCCGTTCTTATATTCAAGATCGTCTTAAGCACGAACTTATATTCGCTCTCTTTGTCAGACACAATCTATGTGTGACGAAGAGAGCGAATATAAGTCCGTGCTTAAGACAATCTTAAATATAAGAACGGACTATGAATACCGGCCATAGAAGTATGGATTCTTAATTCGTCACAACCTAGGTTAGGTTACCTAACCTGACCAAATAATCCTTGTACACAAAAGCATATGACCGGTTTATTGAGATTTTTTAAATCTATTTAATAGTATAATAAATGTGTATTGTGACAAAAAATTAATATAAAACATTAGTGTAGCATACACATTTCGGGAACGATATTAAATAACATTTTTAATTGAATCTTCAAAATAAAAATGCTACTGAAGATCGTGCAATCATCGTTTAGATCGATTTACAGTGCAGAACTTCTGAGAACAGTTAATTTAAAACCAATAAACAAATGTAGATATGGTACTAGGTGGACTAGTCGGAAACCTGTAGCGATTGTTAATGAAGATGAATTTTTTGATACTAATGATACAGAAAAAACTGTAACTAATGTACCTAGAAAAACTCAATCACATAGGAAGAAATTTAATCAACAGAAATCTAATAAACAGAAAAAGGAAGAAGATGAAGCTACAGAAGTTGAGAGTGAAACTGATTCCATAAAATCAAAGTATAAAACTCTCAAAGCAGACGATAAACTCATAAGGTGGGTAGTTTTTTACATAATACATAAATAATACTTGGAAAATGTAACTATAAGAATAATAATAATAACATATGTACTTCATGTTTCAGCTCTTTGATGATACAAGTCAAAGCAAGAAATAAAAAAGAAAAGAACCAACTAATGTTATTAGAAGGTTTTCGATTACTTGAAGATGCACTCCAAGCAGGGGTGAAACCAAAAGTAATATTTTTCAGTAGATTATCTGATGTACTAAAATTGCAACTTCCACAGGAAGTATTATTGTATAAAATTCCATATCGTACGATTCAATTATGGTCAAACTTAACAACTTCTCCTGGAATAGTTGGTAAAAATTTTGATTTTATAAAGTGTTGGAAGAAAAATTGAGTAATCAGTATGAGTCAAAAAATTAAGTATAATTACATATATGTATGTGTATTGTCATTATTTCTGCTCCAGGAATCTTTGATATTCCTGATATGAGTGATAAGCAACCTGCTGAGGATGCTATACCTCTCACCATCATATGTGACAATATTAGAGAACCTGGAAATTTGGGAGCTATTGTGAGATGTGCTGCAGCAGTTGGCTGCGAAAAATTATTGTTAATGAAAGGTGACTGGCATATTGATTACTATTTGAGTCTTAAATTTTTTTTTTGTTAATTTATATATTTTTTATTAATCAGGATGCGTAGATTTGTGGGACTCCAAAGTTTTACGCTCTGCTGTAGGTGCACATTTTCGATTACCAATACTTACAAATCTTTTATGGGATGACATTCCGACATTAATAAGCAACGAATCGAGATTGTTTCTAGCAGATAACAATATAACGTACGAAAATGAATGGAATAAGTGTACAGTTAATCCAGAATCAGATAAAAGCACTTCCAATGAAGTTGGTAATAATGATATAAACAAGGATGATGCAGATGTAAACATTAATGAAATGAGCGAAGATAATGATGCAATAGATCAAGTGATAAATCAAACTAAAGCAAACAAACCAACTACAAAAACCAAGTTGCTGATAAAAAGATTAGTATCTCAACTTCCAGTTGTACCTTATTATTCGTTAGATTATACACAAAGAGAAACAGTACTCATCATTAGTGGAGAAACTGAGAGTGTAAGTCTTGAATCGTACAAATTACTTAAAGCAAGAAATTGCATTCGTGTTAATGTACCGTTGACCAATGGAGTTGATAGCTTAAATGTTGGTGCAGCTCTTGGTATTGTTACATACGAAATGAAAAAACAATTTATAACTCGCAAAGTTGATGAATAAAATTGTTCATAAGTATATACAGGCGACATTTCATAAACTTCTAATTATCATTACTTACAGTGATACATAAGTTAAGGATATTGGTATTATACTTAATTTAATTGTTATATTTTATTGTTGAATAATTTAATAATCTAAAATAATTTGCATCTTAGGTGTAAATATGTTTAGTGTTACAGAAAAGAGTGCTGAGAACAAAAGATAATAGAAATAACACTGATGTTTATTACAAAATTTTTAAATGTTAAATACATAGCAACATAATTTCAATAATATAAAAATAGCTTGTTTTCTGAACACTGCACTAATTTCCTAATATGGCAAGAAATTAAACATAGTGAGTATGGCTTAAATATGGCATAAGAAGTTTAGCTTAAAGTGTATGCTTTTATATCTATCAATAAGAAAAATCGTGATAATAAAAAATATACATTGATTTAATCTAATAAAAATAAATAATGATAAATTCGTACATAATAAAGATACTGTAATTTTAGCTTTATTATGTCGAAAATAACAGAAGTAGCAAAAATAATACTATCTACTATCAAACATGGCAACACTAATTTACACTATTAGAGAGCATCTTATATTCTATAGTGAAAAATATTTTTTGATTGATAATGTAGGAATATCGAGTTCAATTAACACAACAAAAAAGTACACGTCTCCAACGACATCGTTTGTGATTAGTATTTCGTCTTAAATCTGTACTGTATGCACTAATGTCCGAGATAGTTTCACTTAATAGAGAGCCATGGACTGATACAGTCTCGTTATCTTGAAACCATTCTGGACCACTGTCATATGTCGGTTGGTGGCTGGATTTTTTATTAACTGGATTGTTGGTTTTAAGATTTGAAGCATTTTGATTAAAATCAGGTGCAGTGCAAGTGGGAATTTTTGATTTGTTTTGAAGAGAATTCTTGTTAATTTCAGAATCAGTATTATAGTTCAGAATTGTACTAGTCGTTTTCAAAGCTCTATCAGAACACATTTCAGCTTCTAAATTCGGTAAACTCAAATCATCTTTATTAGATGATTTTTTCCGTGATATGGTTTGCAACGGGGCAAGCGCTAATCGTGCATGACTTAAAGTAAAATCGTTTTCTTTAGAATCAAAATTAGGTGTTAGCGGGGTTTGCGCCTCAGGGATATTTTTCTGAACCTCTATTTCCACATGTGACAATATTTGTTTTTCCAAAAATATCCTAAATGTATGTTTACTTAGTTCAGCGTTTCTCAAATTGGTTCTACACCTTCTTTTGTGCAAAGCGACAGAGTCATCGTTATCTGTCGTCATTTTGGGTGATTGTGGTCTATAAAAAAAATTTGTGGTATCATGATGCCGATATAAAGAACAAAACGAAGGATGATCACTGAAAAAATCAAACATGCTTTTAGCCTTACTATTAAATTCAGATGAATTCTGCTCGTTGGGGGCATTGCATTTATTAGAATTATGTCTTGTATTGTTGAAGGTTTCTAATAAATTTTCCGCTGCCGATTGTCACTTGCATCCAAAGAAAGTTTGATCACTTTGTCGACGGTGTTGATACGTTAATGGCACAACTAATCGGCTGTCTTTACTCTTGTAATATTCGTTAAAATCTAATCGTACACTAAGTAATTGCAGCGATACATCTTCAGCAGAAGCAAGCATTAGTAAAAATTTTTTCACACGATCCTGAAAGAAAACAGTATATCTTTTATATCATAAATATCATAAATGTGTAAATTATTGTCATATTTTGATTAAAGAACGGTGCAAATAGGAGAATAATAGTAACATATCAAAATTAGTACAATTGATATTGATATTTTACTTCATTATTACCTGATACGTTCTCGAAAGTAATCTCAGTTGTATTGAAAGTGTGTTGAGATATTTTGAAAATGCTGCCTCTCTTTCTACAGTCTCTTGATCTATTTTATTTGTACGCCCCCACTTTTTCGTTTGTTCATTTGATGCCTGCTTATCGGCATTCAATCTTGCCTCATATTCCTGTGTAGCACGCGCAAGAAAAGTTTCCTCCAGATTTTGAAGGTCTAATATTGGACTATAGACAGAGCGTAAATGATCCATAAGTTCCTACAAAAATACGAACATAAATTCAATATACATCGTCCAAATGTATGCATTTGCATAAATACAATCTAATACTCACTTGTGATTTTTCATCCAATAATGTACCATGTCTTACAGAATCTACAAAATGATTGTGAGCTGCAATTATATCATCGAGAGATGTTGCCTGAAGAAGTTGCTTCGCAAATGTATCCCAAGAACATTCGATTACCTTTAATTTTAATATAAATTTCTCATTTGGGGTGCTTAATGTGACAAATTTCAGAAATGGTAAATTAATGATAGATTTTAATTCTTAACAATTGCTGAATTACCTCAAACAAGAAGTAATATTGCATTTGGTGAACCAAATGGACCATGCTACTGGTGATTAGATGAATGTGATTCTGAATCGGCAACACTTCCGGCATTTTTCTGAACATTTTGGCCGATGTTGTTTGCTGGTTCCATATAGCAGACAAAATCGATTCCATTCTCTTTGCTCTCCATAAGGCAAAGAATACAGTTTGATACGTCTGTCTACACGGCTCCAAAATCTAAATACAGTAACAATAAAATTTGATTATTTGTTAAATACTTAACAAATTTATGCAATTGCTACATTATAACTCGATCCCTTACTGTTCCAATAGGTCCATCGACATTATAATCCAGAATAAAAACGTCCCATCCTGTTTCACTCTCTGAAGGTGCTAATAATCTGACGTCTAAACGTTTTTGCACATCTAACTCATCTAACTTCGTGCTAGTTGCTCTTATTGCAGTTTCAAGTATAGATGATAAGTTGTGAGGATATAAAGAACTTGCCGGTTTAGCCAGTTCAGGCCTGTAATGTATAATTGAAATAGTTTTTCAAACTTGAATTGTATACTAGAATAAAAAAGTATTATCATAATTGCACAAAAGATATCCTTACTCTAATAAGTGCATAAGATGTTGAATAAAATGGCCTTGACCAAGTAAAAGATATCCCTTAATGCCCTGTAAATGGTCCATGAGATGATATTGTTTCATCAATATTTCAACAACTCGTGCTGAAGTTTCTTTATAAGCAGCATCCATCATGGTTTGCAAGCGACCATCCGGATCCATATCGAAAAAGACTTCGACTGGAAGGTAAATAAATAGCATTAAATATTTTTCCAAGCTTGGCAAAATTATATTCTACTTAAGGGGATATTCTCGTGTGGCAGGTAAAAAAAAAATTTTTTTTGCATATTTTTATAGTGTTTGGGGTCTTGAAAATGTGTCCATAAAATATTAAGGTAAAATTTGTGAAATTCGTAAAATTGACCGAGCTATAAAGGTTTAAAGGGCGCAGCTAAAGAGAACACGGCTACAATATTCTTAACTTCTTTTCGATTTTTTCTGCCATCAGTGCGCTTATTATTTGTGAAAAGTGTACAAAAAACATAACATTTAGTGAAGCAAGTTCCCGTGGATTGAGATTCACCTGATATAGCCGACTAAAAGTAAGTTACTGAAATTATTCATTATCCACATCGTAACTGCATGAAAAACTTTAAACGCGTTTTTCTCAAAACGACATTTTTCAAATCGGATGTGTATTCTTCTCACAAACTACTGGACCGATCGACTTGCAGTTTTGCACACATATAGTGCACATATTAGGCTATCGTTTCACCCTCCGACAATTTGATCTCTTTAAAATTACTATTTTTCCGGGCCGCGAGAAGTGAAAATTTTTTAGTAAAAATCAGAGTACTTTTTTTCAAGCGCCGCCATTTTATCAATTTTTATTCAAATTATTTATTCGAGGGTCGAACGATAACCACATTCGTAAGAAATAAAATTTAAAAAAATTTGTTTATTTCAGATGATGAGGACAGCGGCAATTGTCACGCCCGATAAAAAAGGTTTTTTGCGACATGACCTGTGCGTCCACCTGTATCTTATAAAATTTATAATAAAAAGCTTTGTAAAAATTTGAGGTGTTACTTGAAATATGAATAAATGTGAATACAAAACTTGAGTTCTGTAGGTTTAACCATTTTTATAAATTTAATTCCCAAAAATCACCTTGAAAACGTGTGTTCACACTAGAATACTCCCTTAATTTTAGTCAAATTTTTGATCAACTACGAATAATTTTAGTAATTAGAAAATATTCATAAAATTATTATAAAAAAATAATCATTATAAGTTCATTACTAACCATTATATTCCTCATCACTGTTTCTAAACACATCTGCATGCCTATCTTGCCACGGCGAGAAATCTTTGCAAACCTCGCGTAAGAAATTGATACTTTTTCCTGTTCCTAGGATCTTCTTGGCTTGCGCTTTAGTGATGAAGGACGGCACCATCGAATTTCTCACTTGATATTTCTCATGCCACATTCTGTCTCCGCCAACATCGGCGCATGCTTGAATGAAAAACTCTTTGTAGGGATCGTCTAATTCTCCATCAGCAATCCATCTCATTAACATATTGTACAAGGGATTGCAAACACTTTCCAAGACTCTTTTCACTAAATTCTTCACGACGGCATCTCCGTGATAACTGAACTCGTAAACAGTAGATGCCAATGCACCACCTTTCTGGCCTTGACAAGCTCTCACTATACTTGCTAACCACTTCAGAGTTTCCAAAGGATCACATGTCCAAAGATGTAAGTGAGACAATGTAACTCCATACGTAACCATTTGATTTTGTGACCTATTTTAGATACATATAACAGAATGTTATAAATAAGCTCTTCAAGCATGTTTCAACTAAGAAGATATCACATTACTGAACCTTCTTTTATGCTTTTGAATTATATATTTTATTTATTAATTTTTACCTATTCATTTCTTCTTGCATTATAGCTATAAATCTATAATATTCCGACAATTCTTTGTGCAGAACAGCAACAAAACTGTCGGCAACTCTGCCTGCGCCAGCTACGGACATTCTCTCCAATCCCTTTCGCACTACATTATGTAAGTATCCCAATTCGCTCAGTCTTAAAACAGCTTGCCTTTGTGATCTATTAATTTTCGCCATAGGATCTATCTGAAAGCCGTAACTCGAATCTAGCTTTAGAATCTTTCCTTCCACACTTTGAAAAGAATATATCAAGTCCTGGACTAATACATCCTCTGAAATGCATTCCTCGTTGAATATTTTACTTGGATTTACTAACATTCCTCTTGAGTTAGTCTCTGTAGTGTTCAACGATACAATTTGTGCCGGTGAACAGAAAGTTTGCGATGATTGTCCTAAATAAAAAGACAATTAGCTAATGTTTTGATAAATATCATAATATTTCTCTTACCACTAGTGGATGGAATTGAGCTTAAACCCAATTTCATGTCTGGAAACGAAAAAGTTCTATCCTTTATCTGTTCTGCCGACTGACCCATGTTCAGCAGAAATATTAGAATACTTATACGATGCTTCAGTGGCTAATGAAAGAACAACATTTATGTAAAAAAATATTCAGCAGATTATCAGTACATTAAAATATATTTACATATTGTATTATGTTATTTTAAATAATATCATTTTAGATTACATCTAAATATTATTTTAAATAGATATCAAAATATCACACAAAAGGCTTGAAAAAATTTCTAAATTATAAAATTTTATATTACCCCATCTTTTAAATCATTATGTAATTTATCAAATTGTAGTGCATCACGTGATGATAATTTGCTCTTTATATATGTTGCTACAGTCACTTCATCTTCCTTCAATATTTCTATACCTTGAGTTGAAGATAATAATCCAAGGGAAAAACGCATAAACCTTCTGATCAACTCTATAATATATGAGAAATCATTACATATAAGAATTATTACATGTACATGTTGCATATTATTATGTATTATATTAACAAGTTTATATGCTACAAATTATGTATCATAAGATCCAAAATATATATTATAAAATTAATTATAATAATTCAAAGAATACATTATACATGTCAGAGCCAAATTTGCTAGAAAAACAATTGTTTGAATTTAAATTTAACTATAAGATATTAGAAATTAAGAACAAAAATAAAGATTACTAGCTTCTTGAAGATAGACAGAAACAAACGTTTTTGTCAATAGACTATTAGAACCAGAACACGACATAAACAAATTTTTAAGAAATTAGATGATTCTTATTTTAAACTTTTGGCACAATCCGATATTTATTTTACAAACTTGTTCATATATTTAAAATAACATCAATTTATAAAGTAATTTTATAAAGGTTATTGCAATATGATGAGATGTAAATAGGGATAAGATCACAGCAACATGATAGAATGATAATAATACGACAAGACATTAATAATGCTTAATGACAATATTTAAAATGAATAATACTGCAATTAATTTCAGTGGAATTTTGTAGCACAAATCTTTCTGAGTATAAATTATTAATAGTACTGCAGCTGCAAAAAACTAACCTGGCTTTTGTTCGCCGCATAAAGAGACAATCATATTCTGCACCAAATCGGCAATAGTTTCAGCTTCCGCGGGATTCATTTTTATATTGTGTGTTTCTGCTATATCTTTCTTTATATTTTATGTCACATTTAATAATGATTAAAATTTCAACGTCATTTGCGGCTGACGCTTACGATAAAGTGGCAAACATAATTTAACATTTCGTTATTTCTTTCTTTTCAGAAGTGACTCGAGAGTGTGTATGATCACGCCGAGATTTTCGTGAAGCTGGCGTCTCCAGTACGCCATCTACATTTATTTTAAAGTTGAAATGTCGGAATCACGTTCATATTTACCGATCGGTGAGAGCGCGCCATTTTGCTATGCATCACTGTGATATCAAGAAATATCAAATGCCGTCCGTATGCAGATTTTATGCATTACCTCTTTAATTGCGTTATCGAATAAACATATATATATATATATATATATATAGAGGTAAACATACACATTAATACAAAAAATATTAAAAATATGCAAAGCAGTCACACATGTGAAAAGTAGAGTAATTATTCTTTTTCTAAACAGAGAAAAATGTTTATGACCATACCTTTTCGTAACTTTATACATCGAGTTTTTACCGCTTACATTTTATTTTCCATAGATATTTAATGGCAATTATCTAAAGATATATCGTACTTCACAGTTTATTAAATCATCGCCTATTTTACATTTGTCCATATTTGTACTTCAAACAATAAGTTCTCAAAAAAATTAGTAGATTACGTGTGACGAATATTGCCAATCAGTTTCAAACAAATGTTAATAAAGTGTATGCATCTATTTTCAATATGCGTTACATTATTATTAGGTATGCAGTCTTCAGTTTCAATAAATATCGGTATTTCGCTATTTAAAATATGAGGTGCAAATGTATATAATAATCTTCATTAATAATCTTACATAGAATAGAAAACAAGGTTATGACAAAATTTATAGACAAAAGTTTATGGCGATTACTAATTTATCAACAACACTATTACTATTATTAATACTATTAATACTATTACTCTAAAATACTATTACTATTACTATGTATCCAAATATGATTTTGATTATCTCATATCTTAGGATTGTTGTAGCACATTGAATGCAGAGTATGATGTTTTCAAGATCTGCAAGAAAAAATTATGGTAGAGGTTAATGTAAACGTTTGTGCACTTGTTACAGCTTCTGATTTCTCGCTGTAATTTATAAGGTTAAAAGCGAGAGAGGTTATATGTCGTCGTATGTGAAAACTAATTTCTATACATATTGCCAGCAAAAAAATTCACATAATTCTTGCTTCTAACGTCATAATTTAATATAACTGCAGTGAAAAAATTAAGAAAGCCGTAAGATTCTGTTTTCCATGAACAAAAAAAGATAAACATTCGTGTTTCACTGCTACATATATATCGTTATATTTTTGAATATATTATAAGTATTGATTTAGATACTATTACTCAGATAACAGTACTCACGTTACTGTAAGCTTGGAGAGATAATGTTATTAAGAAACTGCTGCTAAACTTGGTAGGAATTGTACTGCGCATCATGATCATCCACAGATCTTTTTTCTCGCTAACTGATAACGAAGGCCAATCCGAATTATATACTGCATCTCCTACACTCATACTCTGTCAGCAAAAATATAATTGCCTCGCGATTAAATTGGTTATAATTTATCAAATTGATATACAATTTTATACAATAATTTTTATATGAATGCATATACATCTATACATATATGTATCTCATGCAAATATTCCAGTATTTGGAATATTAGGATCAAATTCGTCAGTATTCTATTTCATAGGTCTAAGAATTAATTATAAAATATGATTAGCAGTTCATTGACAGTTATCAAATAGAAAAGCGCAAATATTATATCTATTATACATATTATTATCTCTATTATATTGTAGAATAAATTTATATCGATATATTTGCGCTACAATCAGGTCTGTGTTCGAAAGAGATACCTCATTCACACCCTCTATGATTTATTGATTTTTATTACATGATTCACATGTAATCGTTCGAAATAGTTGAGCTCAATATTACTATCGATTTTAACTATCCAAGTGTATAATATATAATAGCAGTTCATTATTTATAATCTTAGCATGATTACATGATGGATCTGAGATTGATTGATAATCTCATCGATTACAGATAGTAGAAATTCACAATTCATAATAATTATAATTTACTTTAACATTTAATTTATTTCACAAAATATATTTATTGGAACTTATAGAATACAAAAAGTTGATTACCTTAAGTATGACTTCGTTCCCAGACCAACAATAAAGATAAATTTGTACAAACATGCAAATGATGTAAGTTAGCAAAGTCACAGTTTCGGACTCCGTAATATGTATTGATATGTAATATACGCACGAACATAATATCAAAATACTGCCACAGAATTGAAGAAAAAGTGCTTGGTTAAATACAGCATTCACTGTCTTGGCATATCTGTAATGATGTCACGTGATAGGAGCAATCTCCATATATTATTTGGTATTAGACGTGAATTTTATAAATCAAAAATTTCTGACAATATTCTAACATTTATTTCACTTTTTTACAATACATAATTTTAAATAAAATTTTATTTATTTAAAGAGTTGAGTAATTCAAAATGCGATAGATCATGAAAACTTCTAAAATATTTTTTTTTCAAGCCTTTAATAATTATCTACCATTTTCAAATAAATTGCATTCATTATTTTTTTTACTTTTTGAAGTACATTTAAAAGTATAAATATAGTATTAAGTTTAAATATTTATATAAATAAAAATAAATTCTCATATCAACTAACTTGTAAATGATGAGGTGATGGCGTATATAGTCCGATATTATTATTTTTTTATTTGACAAAGTAGGATACTGTTCCATAAATCTAGTTTTGTCAGTTACTAATTTGAGAAGACGACATTCAAAAATTTCAAACTGGACGCATGTTTGCAAGAACAATCCGAATACTAAAGTTTCTGTGCCAATATTTATGATAGTGGCGAAAATTACAGTCATAATCTGCTGTATAGATATAATCCAGAATATCAGAGGTATATTAGTATCGAATGGTAGCCATACTCTATAAGGCAAGTGACCTTGCATAACAGCCAACACTGATCCAATTGTTACACTTGTGACGGACCCCGTCGCCAAAAGTAAATATTTTATAGTGCACGATCTGCAGATGTAGAATTGAGTATTTAGGGATAAACATTCTAGAAATATTTACAATTACAATTTATTTTTACTTTCAATGGTAAAATTATTTTGGGAAAACGTTATATAGTTTTAATGTTTTCTTTAGAATATATCTTTTAGAAGATATTTCTTAGTTTAATAAAATGTAAAGAATTAATACGTGATATTGAAATAATTGTATGCACTTACTTGATGAAATCATCGAATTTTGCTTGTATTAATATTTCGTTCTCGTTTCTAGGTTTGCATGGCTCCTTCAACAATAGTTGCACTAAATTAATGATTGCTTGTCGACGTTTTGTGACGATGGTCGCTTTACAACAAACGGCGATAGCACCCACAAGAATGAAAGAATTAGTAACGAAATCATCGATATTGTCGACAACAAGAGCGATATATAGAAATTGGCTTAACACCAAGAAATATAACATGAACAGAATAATAAAGGTAAACGTATCATATGACAGTTTAGCACCATTGGATGACCACTCGATAGGCCGCCATACGCCACCGATTGTATAGATTAAAAAATTCAATGTAAGTAATTGCATATTTACTATTTCAAAATAATACTTTTTTTTGTATCTTTTTTCTTTTCTTCTTACATATGTCAATTAACTGTCGAATTAATTTGATTCGATATTGAATTGAATAATGCAAATTTAAGAAAAATTGAATCCAATAAAAGGGACACTATAAACCTTCATGAAACGATGACATGAAATGGATTATACGATGATAAATTTCACAAATGGTTTGCGAATCTCACATTTCTCATTGTTTTATCGCGTTTTGCAAATTTTATGTCCAACAGTAAAAGAAACTACTTAGAGCCAAATTAAAAATTTACTGCATAAATATTTAATGACTTAAATGTTTACGTATCAACTAGTACTGTACAAGTACTTGTTGGCTCCAATTAGTCTAATTCTTTTTTTTGTTACCGAATTTAACACAATTTAACACAAATCGCGTATAACACTATCATAAGTTCTTATTTAACTTGTAATGTAATATATAAATACTTTTTATCGCACATGAATACGTGTTTTACTATCGTGAAAATTATAAAATTTTAACTAAATGTAATCCGGCATGTTTTGCAACACACTACACATTATTTTACTCGCTGAAGCTTCTTATAATTTCCATGCTACTAATTATGGTTATCATCGTTTATCGTAGTTTGCTACAAAGTTTACGCTTACGTTATTTCCGTTCATCTAAATATTGCAATTATGAACATAGTCTTGCAGCGATCGAAGGGATGTCGTTCTTTACAGCGAAACATATTGTGACATTCTCATAAAATAAAATACTCGTATATTTTCATGTCATCGACAACAATTAAATATAAGACTCTATTTCCCTCAATGCTTTTAACTTTATTGCAAATAAAAGTACAAGATATAAGAGAAGAGATAAAATGTAGAACATTTGTAGACTTATTTCCCAACTGTTTCTACATCTGTCAAGACAGTACGACAAGTGTGCTAGAAAACAATGTAGAATATTTACTGTAGCGCAAAGTATCACATAGTACGGTAAAACGATTTTTTTGTAATTAAATCAAAATTATTGCTGTTTGTACATTAGAACACATTGTTGCATGGCATCGTAGTCACATGTGTGTTTTCAGCATATGCATAATACATTATACATTTATGTTTCATAGTATATGTGTATTGTTCAATTTTTTTCAATTTCATTTAGTTTATTATGTTATATTATTAATATATCATTATTTATTGCTAGAAAGACAATTTTATTTAGTAACAAATGTTCGTAATTTACCATGTAAAATAGTGAGATAAACAAAAAGTATAATTTTAAATAAACATGAAGTAGATAATTTTAAAGGCAGTGAAATAGGTTGAAATAAGAGAGTTTGAAATAAATATGAAGACAATTTTTAAGATTTAAAACCACTAAGATTTATTACTATTATGTCAAAATATTGTTGTGCAAAATTATTTATATTTTAGGACTGTTGTAACACATTAAATGCCGAGTATGATGTTTTTAAGATCTGAAAGAAAAATTGTAGAATAGATTGATGCAAAAAATTATTCATTTGCAAAAGAATTTTGGTTTTAGATGCATTGTTAGACAAATGATAGCATTCGTATTGACATTTTTATATTTATCAATATTTTAGGCACAAGTACTTATTTTATTATAAAAAGACTTACGTTGCTATAAGACTCAAGAGACAATATTATCAAGAAACTGCTGGTAAATTTTATTGGTCTTGTAGTACGTATCATAATCAATAACAAATCTTTTTTCTCGCTGACTGATAGTGAAGGCCAGTCCATATGATATATCGTATCTCCTACGCTGTTACTCTGTCAATGTAGCACAAATGAAACTATTATTTTATAATAATATTATTAATAAGTTTATTATAATATCCTTATATACATTTATGTTTATACAAATGTATATGATTTGCAAACATTTTTTATATCTTTTAAAAAATTTTAACATAATTTTAAAATAGTGATAAGCAGTACATTATTTTGAAAACTTATGAATACATAATTTTTGAGAGTACTTGCGATTTGCTTTAGTTCGAAAAGTTTATGTCGAAATAGATCGTAAAATACAAAGTTGCTTACCTTAAGTATGACTTCGTTTCCTGGCCAGCAAAAGAAATAAATTTGTACAAACATGCAGATAGTGTACATGAAAAAAAAAGTCGCAATTTCGTACTCTGTAATATGTGCTGACATGTAATATATATTTGTACATAGTATCAAAATACTGGCGAAAAATTGGGAAAATAGTATCTCGTTCAATATAACGTTTACCATTTTGGCGTATCTGTAACAATGTCATTTTGATTCTACTTTGCACATAACAAGAGGTATCTTATTATTTCGTACTAGATGTGATTTTTATAATTTTAAGAAATATGAAAATATTTTAATACTTTTGTTTTTTACTTTATAAGTCAAGAATTCTATTTACTTTCGCGCGCGCGCGCGCGGGAAGCTAATATAATTTAGAACAACTTATAAGATCAGTTTTAATATATTTTCTTTCAACAATAATCGATTTAATAAAGAAACACATCAGTTACTTGCTAATTCTATAATATCAATTATTATTGTTATGCATAATAGCGATTTGTAAACATTGCAGAATTTTTTAAAATTTATATTATTTTATTAATGATATTTAAAATCATAAATTAAAGAATATGTAAATATGTGTGTGTATATAAGAGAACTGATTTTCGTATAACTCACTTGTAAATAGTGAGATGATGGCGTATATGATCCGATATTACTGCTTTTTTTTTACTTGGTGAAGTCAATAATTGTTCCAAACATTTAGCTTGTTTAGTTCTTTTAGTTACAAATTTATAAAGCCGATATTCAAAAATTTCAAGCTGTGCGCATGTTTGTAGGAATAATCCAAATACAAAAGTTTCCGCAGCAACATTTATGATACTACCATAAACCAAACATATCATCTGCTGCATGCTTGTAATCCAGAACATTATTGGTATAGTAGAATTATATGGTAGCCATGCTCTGTAAGGAAATTGACCTTGCAGAACAAGCAGCACAGATTTTATTGTAAAGCTCGTGAGTGAACTTGATACTAAAATTGCATATCTTACTGTCCATAATCTGCAAATGCAAAATTGAGAATTTATGATATACATTTTAATAACATTTGCATTTTTGTGGCGATTAAAAAACTTATTTCTATTTGAATAATAACAAAAAATATATATATTTCGTACTTTGTGACAGCATATGATATAATTTTAAACTATTTTTTGCAACATTTTTAAAATATATTTTTAAATGCTAAGATGTTGAAGATTAAAACATGTAATTGAGATAGTAATAACATCTATTCTACCTGATAAAATCATCGAATTTTGCTTGTATTGCTGTTTCTTTCTCATCTTGTGGTTTACATGGTTCTTCCAATAACATTTGAATTAAATTGATGATTGCACTTCGACGTACTATCATAACAGTCGCTTTACAACAAATAACAAATACACTCACGGATATGAAAGAATTATTTATGTAATCTTCAACACTATCGACAACTAAAATGATATCCAATAATAATGTTATCAAGAAGAAATATATTAAAAATAATATTAAAAAAGTGAATATATTATATAAAAACTTAGCACTGTTTGATGACCAATCGATAGGTCGCCATAAGCCAGAGATCGTATATATTAAAAAATTTAGTGTTAATAATTTCATGTTAACAATTACAACCGTATTGCACTAAGATATAGCACTTATTTTTATGTACAATTTTTTCAAGAAAATTTTTCCAATATTGACAAATATCTTCTTAAATTATTAGTTAATTATTTATTAATTGAATGATTAAGTTGTTACGATTTTGAGAAAAATAAAGTTTAATATGATATAATTTAATATAATAGCGCAATAATCTTAAATTAAATAGATAATGTATGAATTTTATAAACGACTTTGCATTTCACATTTATCACTGTTTCATTGTAGTCTACAATTTTTATTCTTGATAAATATAAATATTTATCGCGCACTTAATCCTTTTCGTGATGTTGCAAAACTTTTTTATTTATTGTTTTTTTAACAATATTTTTAGTTAGCAGTGTAATAGATGCCAACACAATTACCACGTGAACTAACGGAAAGACAATTAAATTTCAAGTAGCGTACATCCATACAACAGAATGCGTAAGTATAGTTTCATTTGCTATAACTTCTTAACTCCGATGCCATTAATTATAACTATTATCGGGGAAACGTATAATACTGTAGGGTATATTACATACTGTAGGGTATACTTTTAAATTCTAATTATTAGCAAACAACTTGCGTGGCTAGATATCTCTTTTGTCATATCTAATATTATCATGGAATTTATTATTGCTTATTACGGCGGATGTTAATTTCGCTCTTATCAGGATTGCAATATTACCTGTAATAATGAGGGAAGTATTGCTCTTTGTAATGAAACATATTCTCATCGAGTAAGATATTTTCACATTTTCATGGCATCGGTAATCACTTAATGCAAGATTATTTCGATAAAGTCTGACTTTATGTCGTACAATAATGTTAAAAGTACAATGTAATGCAGAAAGAAACTTAACGTAGTACATTTAGACGTTTGCCAAGTTGTCTGTTGCAACCACATCATTTTGCCAAGTGTATGACGAGTGTATCGCAAGATTGTATACTTATTATAATATGCGGAAAGTTTATATTGAAAGCGATTTTTTAACTAACGATTAAAACCCTACATTATTATTTTCTATTAAACTAAATTACTTTGCACTGTGTGATCACATGAGTATATTCAGTGTATGGCAATCGTTTGTAACGCACGATTCTTGAACAAGAAAAAAACAACAGAAAAAAGACTGTGATTCAAAAGCGTGAATATAATATAATATTACAAATTTAAATAGATTTAAAACTTTTTTTTTTACTTTGTTTTAATTTGTGATATTTTTTTGCGCTTATCAACATTTGCACTTTTGGTTCACAATTTCTTTTTTGTTTAGCCCTGTGCATAATATGTTCTATATGTTTTATAATATGTATTGTTTATATTGTTTGTTCTTTTCGTTTAGCTTTTCTATTATATTTCTAATTAATTTGGGTAATCATTTATTGTTGAAAAAGCCAGTCTTGTATTTAATAGTAAATAGTAATACATAATTTGCCTTTTGAAGCATGACAAAAATAAATTTAATAATTCTAAACAGTAGCGCTTAAAATGTGAATAGGAAATAAAATTGAAATAAATGGTAACAAAGATAACAATTTTCAAATTTTTACAGTCACTAAAACTTTTTATTATTGTGCCTAAATATTGGCGCGCGAAATTACTTGTATATTTCAAGATTGTTGTAACACATTAAATGCCGAATATGATGTTTTTAATATCTGAAAAGAATTATAGAAAGAATTAATGTAAAAGATTATATATTTACGAAAAATTTTGATTTACGTTGGATCTCTTCGTATACTATAAAGAAATTCGATGAATTTACACAAATAAGATGTAAAAGTTATCGGATAAATAACGGAAATATACTAAATAAATAATATAAAATTTTTGATATATTTTACTATATTTATTTTGTATAATTTTCATTATTTATCAAGCAATTTTTACATATTATTTGTTTAAATTTACTGAATTTTTTTACAATGTGGGTATAAATTCACTCCTGGTAATAAACATTTCTTTTATTGTTTAATACTTTGCACAAAAGTTTTACGCTTATTTTTTCTTAAAAATAATGATACTTACGGTAGTATAAGACTGAAGAGTTAAAGTTATCAAAAAGCTGCTAGTAAATGTTATAGGCATTGTGCTACGCTTCATGATTATCAACAGATCTTTCTTTTCGCTGACTGATAGTGAAGGCCAGTCCGTACAATATATCGCGTCTCCTATGCTCTTACTCTGTCAACAAGTAAAATAATTTTTTGCTGTTTATTTGTTAACAGCTTTATATATGCATAAATATATGTATACAAAAATATATATCTTGCAAATATTCTTGTACATTCATATACTGTGAATTTTTAATGTATCTTTAAGTATTTGTGCGATAAGTGAAAAATTATTTTGAAAGGAAACTATTAAGTTTTGAAAATTCTTGTAAATATTTTAATTTAAAAAGTATATCTTTAGAAAGTCGGAATTAATTATAGAACACAATTATTTGCCTTAAGCATGACTTCGTTTCCAGACCAGCAGTAAAGATAAATTTGCACAAACATGCAAATTGTATATACCAGAAAAGACGCAGCTTCCTTAATATGTATTGATATGTAATATATACTTGTACATAATACCAAAATACTGCCAAAGAATTGGAAAAAGAGTACTGGGTTAAATATAACGTTCACCATTTTGGCGTATCTGTAACGTTATAAATTTTTAGAAAAATGAAAACATTTTTTAATTTATTCTATTATTACTTTCTGACTTCAAGAATATTTCTTTTGTTGGAACTTTAAATATTATAAACTAAAAGCGCGAATATAAAAGCGCTGATTCTCGTATGAAAATACTAACTTGTAAATTTCAAGATGATGACGTACGTATTCAGATATTTCTATTTCTTTTTTACTTGAAGAAATAGTCAAATATTCGATATATCCAACTGTTTTGTTAGCAATTAGGTTGTGAAGCCGATGTTCAAAAATTTCGAGCTGGGCACATGTTTGCAAGAACAATCCAAATACTAAAGTTTCCGTGCCAATATTTATGATAGTGGCGAATAACACAGTTACAATCTGCTGTATAGATGTAATCCAGAATATCAGAGGTGTATTAGTATCGAATGGTAGCCATACTCTACAAGGCAAGTGACCTTGCATAGCGTTCAACACTGATCCTATCGTTACGCTTGTGAGAGAACCCAATGCCAATAGTAAGTATTTTATTGTCCATGATCTGCAAATATATATATATATTTAGTTGAGAATTTAAAAGATATTATAAACATGTTATAAATTTGCATTTTTATGGCAATTAAAATTTATTTCTACTTCAGATGGTGACCAATTTTCTTCCCAATTTTTTGACAGAGTGTAGTTCAATTTTAACTTATTTTTTTGAAAAATATTTCTTGATTTAATAAAGAGTACAAAATTTAATGTATATAAAATTAAGAAATGCTGTTGAGATAATAATTAGATTTAATTTACCTAATAAATTCATCGAATTTTGTTTGTATCCCCATTTCATTCTCGTTTTCAGGCTTGCACGGTTTTTCCAACAACATTTGTAATAAATTGATGACTGCACTTCGACGTGTTACGATAATAGTCGCTTTACAACAAACAGCAACAATACTCACGAACATTAAAGAATTAGAAACAAAATCATCGACATTGTCGACAACAAAAATGATATCCGTAAATTGAGTTAGCATCAAGAAATATAACATAAATAGTATAACAAAGGTGAATATATTATACAACAATTTAGCACCATTTGATGACCACTCGATAGGTGACCATATACCGCCAATTGTATATATTAAAAAATTTAGTGTAAGTATTTTCATATTAATTGTTATAAACGCGCGCGCGCGTATGTACTATATATTGCACATAGAACACTTTTTACGTATACAATATTTAGAAAAACATTTTTACTACGCTGCCATATATCTTAAATGTATTAAATGTATTAATTGTTTGGAACTGACAAGTGACGTAGATATATAACAATTTGAGCAAAATAGAGATTAATATAAAATACGCCGTGAACTTCAACACAATAAATCGTGCATGAATGAATTCCACAATGCCATTCGCATCTCGCATTTAATACTGTTGTATCGCATATTATTTTCGATAGGTGTTGATAAGTATGGTTTGCTCTTTTTTCTTTTGTTATAACATAAGTTATAACATAAACATTTCTCAAAATACTATTTCTTGCATGTTTAGTTGCTAGATGTAAGAGTTAAAAGATGCTTTGCTAACTAAACGATAATTAAATTTTAACTAAATGTAATCCGGCACGTTTTCCAGCAGACTACGTATTGTTATACTACCGTACAACTTTTTTACCCCATTGCCATCAATTTGCGATCAATAGCAACTCGATTATATTATAGTATATTACGGTATACGTTATTCCCACACATATAAATTATAATTGTAAAAACCGTCTTACCTTACGATGATTGCAGAGGGTGCCGCCCACTATGAGACATATTGTCACATTCCCATCGAATAAATGTGTATATTTTCATGTTTTCCGCAACAATGCTAGATCATATTTCTCATAAAATGTCTAACTTTATTGCATTTAAAAGTACAAGATAATAGAGAGCATAATGTACAGTACATTTAGATATTTTCCAAGTTAACTGCCTGCATTATAAAATATGCGATCTGCTTAATGTATGACGAGCGTGCCGGAAGACAATGCATAAACTCTATATACACTCATGGCATTAATCAAAAAATGATTCTTTCTACTACTATTTCAATCAAAATTATTGCTGCTGTATATCGAAATCGTTGCATTGCTGTCACATGTCTATATTTGGTATACGTGTATGATGCATAACGTTTCAAATAGATGTTTCTGTATGATGTATGTATTGCGTGTAAAACGTTTCTCTTTTTAATCTTCCTTAATCTCTTATTTAATTTTCCTAATGATTGTTTTTTGGATAAATTCTTTGCGTTTAGTACTAAATATTAATAGATCATTACCAGATGCGGGCAAATAGTAGTTTTAAATGGTAAAAGTACCAGAGTAAGGAATAAGGTTGTAATAAATATGAGAAGACGGCAATTTTAAGATTTATAATCACTAAAATTGATCAAAAACTACAATACTATTATTATGTACAATAGAATAAAATACTATTATTTGTGTCTATGATTGTTGTAACACATTAAATGCAGAATATGATGTTTTTAAGATCTGAAAAAGAATATAACATAAAAGATTATGTACTAGTTATATATTCAGTCGCGTTTTTTAGGGATATCTTTTTATATCTCTCAATATATCTCACACAAATATATTTTTTTTTACAGGTGCAATGGTACTCACGTTGCTGTAGGAGTCAAGAGACAAAGTTATCAAAAAGCTGCTAGTAAATTTTATGGGCCTCGTGCTACGTATCATGATAATCAACAGATCTTTCTTTTCGCTGACTGATAGTAAAGGCCAGTCCGTATGATATATCGCATGACCTGTCTTCATACTCTGTCAACATAAAATGGAATTGTCTCACGATTAACAACATTAGTTTATTAACTGTATTATAGATATGTATATCTTACAAACATATGTTTATACAGGTATGTATCTTGCAAACATTGTTTTATATACGACGTTTTATATTTTTGGAATGTAATTTCTTAAATTGGAGATAAGTAATATTTTTCACAGTAATATTTTGAACAGTAAGAAACTATGTTCTGAAAATACTCGCGGTTTTTGACTATTTTAGTTTGGAAAATGCGTCGATTGGAATGGATGTTGATTGTCGAATACAAACAATTATTTACCATAAGCATGACCTCATTTCCGCACCAGCAGTAAAGATAAATTTGTACAATCATGCCAATAGTGTACAGTAACAAAGTCGCTGCTCTGGTTTCCGTAATATGTTCTGCTAAATAATATATACTTGTACATAATACCAAAATACTGCTAAAGAATTGTACAAAGAACACCTGGTTGAATATAATATTTACCATTTTAGCATATCTATAAAAATGTTCTATTAGTTTTGCACTGATGATACAAATTTTATCATAGTTATATTGAAAAATAAAAAAAAATGAATAACGTATGTACAAAAGAAAGGATTAACTTATAAATGGTGAGATGATGGTATATGCATTCCGACAATATCGCTTTATCTTTATTTAACGAAGTAGGTACATGTTTCAGATAACTAGCTGTTTTATTAATTACTAATTTGTGAAAACGATTTTCGAAAATTTCAAGCTGGGCGCATGTTTGCAGGAACAATCCAAAAAGTAGAGTTTCCATGCCAATAGCGTGGAAAGTGGCGAATATCACAATTACAATCTGCTGTATAGATGTAATCCAGAATATCAGAGATGTATTAGTATCGAATGGTAGCCATACTCTGTAAGGCAAGTGACCTTGCATAGCGTTCAACACCGATCCTATTGTTACACTTATAACGGAAATCATCGCCAAAAGTGAGTATTTTATTGACCACGTTCTATAAATGTAGAATTAAGATTTATCTATTTTGTTGATGCTTGCAAAATTTTATAATAACATTATTCTGTGATGAAATGTGGCATAACGCGTACAATTTTAAAGGATTTCTTGGAGTATATTTTTATATATAATATTTTTTTACTGTGAATTTAATTATGTTTTTTAAAATATTTATTTAATATGAATAGTATTAATGTCTTCGTGAACATGACGCTCAAGTAGAAGATTCACAAATCTCAAGAAAAGATGGGCAGTTTATAAATTATTTGCATAAGCAAGTTTTATTTGCATTTCAAGTTTTAATTGTACATACTCACCTGATAAATTCATCAAATTTCGTTTGTATTGCTATTTCGTCTTCATTTTGAATTTTACATGGTTCCAGCAACAGCATTTGTACTAAGTCAATAACTGCATTCTGACGTACGACAATAACAGTCGCTTTGCAACAAACACCAATAATAGTCAGACACATTAGAATATTGGTAGAGAAATCGTCAATATTATCGACAACGAGAATGATATCCATGAACTGAGTTGTTACCAAAAAATATTCCAAGATTAGTATAACGAAAGTCAATGCATTGTACAGCAACTTAGCACAATTCGATGACCACTCGACAGGCCGCCACACACCACTAATGGTAAATATTAAAAAATTTACAGAAAGTATTTGCATGTTTGTGAACGCAAACAACTTATTGAAATGTTTTACAAAAATATTTAATGTGGTTTCAAAAGAACGCTCTTAAATATTTTTTAAAATATATTAATTAATTATTGCAAATTGATTGCTCGGATCGTTAGAATCGTTTTAAGAAAAACAAAATGCAGAATACAATATAATTTCCTATAAAATAAATTACACGATAAGTGAATTCTCCAAAAAACATTCGCATTTCACATTCATCATTGAATATAATTTTCTGTAACAAGTTTTCTTTATCTAACACAGAGATCGCGTAAATGGAATGATACTCAGACGATCTATAATAAAATGTATGATGAATGTAAATGCAGATTAAAAACTAGCATAAATTTCTATCGCGTTTATCAGAATAATGCGCTTCACATTTTTAACCGTACAGAATTAATAATATGTCTACTAATACTGAGATACTTGTTTTAATATCGTGACGGTAATAAAAACTTTACCTAAATGTATTCGAGCACATATTGCATATTGCAAGAAAGACTTTTAAAGTGACATTTCCGCTTCAATTTCTTAACTGTATATTATTAATTACGGTTGTTAGCAATTTTACGTGGAGTCTATTACAGTTTATTACACTACACATTATTTTCCGCTCGTATGCATACTGTTATGTAAATCGTTTTACTACTGGTGGAGGTCGTTTTTTACAGTAAAACATATTGTCACATTCCCATCAAATAAAATATATGTACAATTTTATGTCATCGGCAGCAACTGAATGCAATGATAGTGTTTCCCGTAAAACCTGACTTTATTGCATAAAAGTATAAGATAATACAGCAAGAGGGGTAATATATAAATACATATTGCATGTTTTCCAAGTTAATCCCGTCTGCACATCTGTTCACTAAGTATGACTAGCGTATGCATATTAAAGACTATATATATTAACTCTACACAGCGTGTTGCATGGAATATATTGAAAGTATTTTTTCTCGCTAACTAACGCTTGAGGAAAAATTGTTGTTGATTCTACATTAACTTGAATCATTGCATTGTGGTATGACGAGTATATTCGAGTGTGTACACTTGTTTGATATATTATGTTTTGCGTTGAGAAAAACATGTTTAATGTCTTAAAAGATGTTAAAAGAGTTGAAAGATGCCGCTCATTATGAAATATATTATCACATTCCTATTGAATAAATGCGTATATTTTCATGTTTTTCGAAACAACTGACTGCTAAATCATATTTCTCATAAAGTGTCTGACTTTATTGCATTTAAAAGTACAAGATAATGGAGGGATAATGTACAATATATTTAGATATTTTCCAAGTTAGCTGCCTGCACTGTAAAATATACAACCTGCTTATTGCATAACGAGCGTGCAGGAAGACAATGCATAAATTCTAATATGTACTCATGGCATAATCAAAAAAATAATTTTTTGACTGCTATTTAAATCAAAATTATTGCTGCTGTATATCGTACAAAATCATTGCATTGTATTGCTGTCTTATGTCTACATTCAGTATACGTGTATGTATGCGTTTTACATAAACGTTTCTGTATCATGTATGCATTATGTGTAAAATATTTCTTCTTTCAATCTTGCTTAATCTCTTATTTAATTTTTGTTTGATTGTTTCTTGGATAAATTCTTTGCGTTTAGTACTAAATATTAATAGATTGTTATCAGAAGAGCGGACAAATATAATAGTTTTAAACGGTAAAAACATTCGAGTAAAGAATAAGGTTGAGATAAATATGAGAAGGTGGCGATTTTGAGATTTATAATCACTAAAATTTGTCAAAAACTACAATACTATTAATATGTTTCAATAGAATAAAATACTATTATTTGTGTCTAGGACTGTTGTAAGACATTAAATGCTGAATATGATGTTTTTAAGATCTGAAAAAAATGTAACGTAAAACATTTTATACTTGTTATAAATTCAATCGCGTTTTTATGGGTATCTTTATATATCTCACGCAAATATATTTTGTTACAGATGCAATAGTACTTACGTTGCTGTAGGATTCAAGAGACAAAGTTATCAGAAAGCTGCTGGTAAATTTTATTGGCCTTGTGCTACGCATCATAATCATCAACAGGTCTTTCTTTTCCCTGACTGATAGTAAAGGCCAGTTTGTATGATATATCGCGTGGCCTGTCTTCATACTCTGTCAACATAACACAAATGGAATTGTTTCACAATTAAAAACATTAGTTTATTAACTATATTATAAATATATATATCTTGCAAACATTTTGTTTTATATATTTTGCTTCATACTTTTTGAACGTAATTTCTTAAATTTGAGGTAAGTAATATTTTTAATAGTAGCAACTTATGTTCTGAAAAGATTCGCGATTTTTAACTATTTTAGCTTGGAAAATGCGTTGATTGGAATGGATATTAGTGTCGAACACAAACAATTATTTACCATAAGCATAACCTCATTTCCGGACCAGCAAAGAAAATAAATTTGTACAAACATACCAATAGTGTACACTAACAAAGTCGCAGCTTTGGTTTCCATAACATGTGCTGCTAAATAATATACACTTGTACATAACACCAAAATACTGCTAAAGAATTGGACAAAGAACACCTGGTTGAATATATTATTTACCATTTTAGCATACCTATAAAAATGACCTATTAGTTTTGGACTAATGATACAAATTTTATCAACATAGTTATATTGAAAAACGAAGAAGAGTAAAAAACGAATGTATAAAAGAAAAGATTAACTTATAAATGGTGAGATGATGGTATATGCATTCCGATAACATCGTTTTATATTTATTCAACGAGGCAGGTACATGTTTCAAATAACTAGCTGTTGTATTTATTACTAATTTGTGAAGACGATTTTCGAAAATTTCAAGCTGGGCGCATGTTTGCAGGAACAATCCAAAAACTAGTGTTTCCATGCCAGCATTTATGAGGCCGGCGATCGCCACAGTTACAATTTGTTGTATAGATATAATCCAGAATATCAGAGATGTATTAGTATCGAATGGTAGCCATACTCTGTAAGGCAAGTGACCTTGCATAGTGTCCAACACTGATCCTATTGTTACACTTATAACGGAAATCATCACCAAAAGTAAGTATTTTATTGTCGACGTTCTGCGAATGTAGAATTAAGATTTATCTGCTTTGTTGATACTTGCAAAACTTTATAATAACAATACATATTATTCTGCGATGAAATGTATAACGTGTACAAATTTAAAAGAATTTTTGGAATACATTTTAATATAAATTTTATATAATATTATGTTATTAATTTAATCTTTTTTTTATACTTACTTAATATAAATAATATTAATATTTTCGTGAACATAACGCTCAAATATAAGATTAACAAATCTCAGGAAAAGATAATCAGCTTATAAATTATTTGCATTATAAATTTTTACATGAGTATTTCAAGTTTTATTTGTACGTTCCCACCTGATAAATTGATCAAATTTTGTTTGTATTGCTATTTCGTCCTCATTTTGAAATTTACATGGTTCTTTCAACAGCATTTGTACTAAGTCAATTACTGCATTCCGACGTACGACAATAACAGTCGCTTTGCAACAAACAGCAATAATAGTCAGACACATTAGAATATTGATAGAGAAATCATCAATATTATCGACAACGAGAATGACATCCATGAACTGAGTTGTTACCAAAAAATATTCCGAGATTAGTATAACGTAAGTCAGCACATTGTACAGCAACTTAGCACAATTTGATGACCACTCGACAGGCCGCCACATACCACTGATGGTAAATATTAAAAAATTTACAGAAAGTATTTGCATGTTTGAGAATGCAAACAACTTATTGAAACGTTTTACAAAAATATTTAATGTAGTTTTCAAAAGAACGTTTTTAAATGTTTTTTTAAATATATTAATTAAGTATTGCGATTTTATTGCTGCAAATCGTTAAAACCGTTTTAAGAAAAACAAAATACAGAATACAGTATAATTTTCTATCAAATAAATTACGCGATAAGTAAATCCTTCTAAAAACGCTCGCATTTCACATTCAGCATTGAATATAGTTTTCTGTAACGAGTTTTCTTTATCTAACACAGAGATTACGTAAATGGAATGATACTAGGACGACCTTATTTTACTATAATAAAATGTGTGATGCATGAAAATGCAAATTAAAAGAAGTATAAGTGCTCTTTCGCGTACTTTTATCAGAATATTGCGCCTCACATTTTTAACCGTACAGAATTATTGTCTACTAATACCGAGATACTTGTTTTAATATCGTGACGATAATAAAAAGTTTAACTAAGTGTATTCGAGCACATATTGCATATTGCAAGAAAGACTTTTAAAGTGAACTTTTTGCTTCTTTTTCTTAACTGTATATTATTAATTACGGTTGTTAACGACTTTACGTGGAGTCTATTGCAGTTTATTACGATACACGTTATTTTCCGCTTGTGTGCGTACTGTTATTATGTAGATCGTTTTACTACTGGATGTCGTTCTTTACAGTGAAACATGTTGTCACATTCCCATCGAATGAAATATATGTACAATTTTATGTCATCGGCAGTAACTGAATACAATGTAGTGTTTCCCGCAAAGCCTGACTTTATTGCATAAAAGTATAAGATAATACAGCATGAGGGGTAATGTATAAATACATATAAACGTTCTCCAAGTTTACCCTGTCTGCACATCTGTTCACTAAGTATGACGAGCTTATGCATATTAAAGACTATATATATTAACTCTACACAGCGTGTTGCATGGAATATATTGAAAGTATTTTTTCTCACTAACGCTTGAGGAAAAATTGTTGTTGATTCTACATTAACTTGAACCATTGCATTGTGGTATGACAAGTATATTCAATGTCTACGCCTGTTTGACATATTATACAGGGTGTTTTGCGTTGAGAAAAGTGTGTTTAATGTTTTACATAAAAATGCTTAATTTAGAAATGCTATTGAAAAGGTAATTTTTATTTTTAATAATTGAATAGCTTGCTATTTAAAATACGAACAAATTTGATAATTTAAGATACTGATGGTATATAATTTTTAACATTTTGATAGAGAGAAATAAATTTTGTACATTTTGAATAGGGAATAAGAGTGGAAGATTGAAAAAAAAAAGGACACTCAGATAACATGTAATGACTAATTTATCAAAAACTACAACATTTTTATTCCAAACACACTTTTGATTATTTATATCTCACTTTTGTAGCACATTAAATGCAGAATATGACGTTTTCAAGATCTGAAAGAAAAATTATAAAAAAGATTAAGAATTATATATTTGTTAAAACTTCTGGTATTAGCTTGTGTTTTCGTGAGTCTAGGCAAGATTTTTATCGATGTCACGGATATCTTTATATTTCTAAATTATCAGTTTTTTTTATCATTTTAATAGTACTCACGTTAGTATAAGACTGAAGAGATAAAGTTATTAAGAAGCTGCTAGTAAATTTTATTGGACTTGAGCTACGTATCATGATCATCAACAATTCTTTCTTTTCGTTGATAGACAGGAAGGGCCAATTCATTCGATATATCGCATCTCCTATGCTCATACTCTGGCAGTTTAACATAAATATAATAATTACAATATAATTGTATTTCTCTTAACAGATTTATATATATATATATATATATGTGTACATTTATGTACGTATATATATTTTGCAGGCATTTCTACATTAAGACTAGTTTTATTTTTACGGTAAGCACCTCTGTGAAGTTGGCACCCCATTTTTAAAAAAATCAATTTTTTTTAGAGTTCTGAATGCACCCCAAAGAGTTCTAGAGTTCTCCATAAAATTTATAAATAGTTCCGGCGAATTAGACAAAAAAATCAATTATTGAAAGTATGGGGTGCTAACTTCACAAAACGTTATCACAAAATTGACGATAACAGCTTAATCGTCGGAAATAATTGAAAATATCATTAGAATTATTTGTAGAACTCTTGAGGTGCTACCCAGAACTCTAACGAAAAAATTAAAATTCCAAAAAAATTTTATTCTTATTGGAACTTAGAATATTTTCTTAATCGGTGATACGAAAAATAGTGAGAACTTGTTATATATTGGTCTGAGCGCTTTGAACCTTAATAATTATCGTTAGAACTCTTGAGGTGCTACCCGGAACTTCAATAAAATAATCAAAATTCCAAAAAAATTTCTCACTCTTCCTGACCTAGAAAATTTTCAATCGGTGATACAAAAAATTGCGAGAACTTTTTATATATTGGTCTGAGCGTTTCGAACCTTAATAATTATCGTTAGAACTCTTGAGGTGCTACTCAGAACTCCAATAAAATAATCAAAACTCCAACAAAATTTCTCGCTCTTCCTGACCTAGAAAATTTTCAATCGGTGATACAAAAAATTGCGAGAACTTTTTATATATTGGTCTGAGCGCTTTCGAACCTTAATAATTATCGTTAGAACTCTTGAGGTGCTACTCAGAACTTCAATAAAATAATCAAAATTCCAAAAAAATTTCTCACTCTTCCTGACCTAGAAAATTTTCAATTGGTGATACAAAAAATTGCGAGAACTTTTTATATATTGGTCTGAGCCCTTTGAACCTTAATAATTATCGTTAGAACTTTTGAGGTGCTACCCGGAACTCCAATAAAATAATCAAAATTCCAAAAAAATTTCTCACTTTTTGGGACTTCAAAAATTTTCGATCGGTGATACAAAAAATAGCGAGAATTTTTTTGGAATTTTGATTATTTTATTGAAGTTCTGAGTAGCA